GCAGCAGTAGGCAGGGTGGCCAGGCCCATCATCTAGCTTGTGCTGCTGGCTGGGACGGTGCAAGCTTGCAGATCGGCTAGCCCCTTATCCTCACTTGATCCAAACTGCTGCTAAAGGACCCTCCCACTCCCAAAGGTGAATGCCAGGGTAGGGAGGGCTGCAAAGCGCTCACTTCCCTTCCCTCCTAGCCCCATCCCATGGCTCTGTCCCGGGAGAGAGGAGTGATTGGGGCCCCTGCGTGTTCATCTGGAACGGATCCGCACGGGTGCTCAGAGCCAAGAGTTCCCCTTCGGACTCCTAGTTCCGATTTTCAGAAGGGCTCATCTCCCACATGCAGCGGCCACCGGGAGAGGTAAGGAGAGCAGCGGGGTGCTGAGAAGACCAGTCTGCAAGGCTAAAGGGAGCAGAGTTCTTCTGGCTAACGTGCGTGTGCGGGGATCCAAACTATAAAGACTGGTTCTGTTCCGGGTCAGTTTATTCATGAGGCTGGGACTTTCCAAGGAGCCCAGGGGAATTAGGCACCCAGAGCCCATTGAGCTTTTCGGTAGGTGTCGGGCACTCGACTCCTCTGGACGGACTGCAAGTTGTTTGGGGCGGAGAGCAGCTGCCTGTTCTGTTGGGGCAGCACCTACCGTGCTGGCCGGGGCTCCCAGGCGCCGCGGGCAGGACACGAATAAAGCATACTTCTGTGCTGACGGCATGAGCTCAAGTTGTTTTCCTGTGAAAGCTGGACGTATGTTTTTAAACCTTTCAGCCTGGTTCTCATTTCCACCAGGCCTCTCTCTGGCAGCAAGCTAGAAGCTTAGCGTGCGTGCAGCATTACGCCCTGCGAATATGCGCTCCCCTTCCCTGTCCCTCGTCACTCACACCCTCCTTTTGCTGCCAGCCTGATGAACGGAGAGGCCTTAGTGCAAATGAAAACCAGGCCCTTCCGTTTGCATCGCCTCTTATCCGCTCAGTATCCTTGCAGGGCACACAGAGCATGCTGGAAAGCCCCGCCCTTCATTTTCCTGACCGGCACTCGTGGCTTAATCACGGCCCTGCTTCCAGCCTCTGCCTGTGCTGACCAAGGTGCCAGAGCTAGAGGCTGGCAGAGAGGGGCAGATACACGTATGGGTGACTGGGCGCTTTCTGCCCGTGGCTCTCAGAGCCCTTTACATTTGCATGTCAGCGCCAGGCTGGGCCCCAGCAGGACTCGTACCAGCGGGAATGGTACTCGGGCGCGCAGCCAGTGCGTTTTCATCTGGCATGGGGCAGGAACAGTTGTGCAAGAGATGAATGACATGGAAAGAATGTCCCAGCGCTGGCTGGCAGAGAAGAGACGAAATTCTCCGTGCTCCCAAGGGACCGGACTTTTCGCCGTCCCGGGGTTTCGGATGGCGCCCGGTGCTAATTTCTGACATGCTTGGTGTTTTAGCCATCTCAGGGTTCTGCAGCGGGCTGGCCAAACGTTCGCTCCAAGGCACTTCTTGCCTTCCCAGTGGTGGGCGTGGCTGGCAGGGAGCCCGCCAGCTGGAGCATTAGGAAAGCAGCAAGCACCGTTGGCAGCTTGCCCGTGGCAAATGGAAGAGCGAAGCCTGGCATGTCACACTGTTCCAAGGCTGCTCCCTAATACAATCCCAAGAGCTTGGATTCTGACAGTGCTTCCTGCGGTGCTAATGTCAGTCCCCAGGCTGGCAGAGAGAGCACAGCCCAAGACGGTGCTCACCAGGGAGGTGATCCAGCATCCACCGACAGCCCACAGCCAGGGGAAACAGGAACACTCCCACCCCCCCCATGAGGCCCACCGCCTGTTGCTGGGTCCGTAGCGGGAACCGTTGCGTGAAGCTGCAGAAAGAGTCCCAGAGGAGGGGAGTCATGGCTAGGTGAAAACCCCGTCCCAAAGTTTAGTTTTCCTTTTGTGGAGAAGGCAAAGGCAGGCCAGGCCCAGGCATCCCTCTAATTTTTCCATGTGCGCGGAATAATTTTTTTTTCTGTGCACTGAGGCCTGTGCAGGTGTGCACCACCAGTACAGACACCTGCTGCAGTTGTGGGAGGCTGTGGGCTGCTCATCAGCTGGGTGGCATTAGAATCTCTCCTTGCAGGGACACTTGCGTCTCCTCCAGCTGCTCAGAAGACCAGGAAGAGCCAGCCCTCAGGGAGCAGGGGTATTTCCATAGCTGGCTCCCAAGAAGGGCTCTTGCTATTGCACTCACAGAAGTCTTCTGCACGTGGCGTTTATTGAGGAGCCTGAAGAGGGGAAACGGAGGCAGTGCACCGCAGAGCCCCCCAGGGCACCAGGGGCACGCGGGAGGCAGCTGGCCCTGTTTCACTCCCTCAGACACAGGGATCTCTGTCCAGGCAGGATTTAAGGCCCAGGCCTGGGTGGCCCTGTAATTAGAAAACAGGGTCGGAGTTCTGCCTGCATTAAACCACAGCTGCGTGTTGAGCCCTCGCAGAGGCAAAGAAAACTCGGACATATCTGTTTGGTGCGTAGCTAGGGGCACGCGGGAGGCAGCTGGCCCTGTTTCACTCCCTCAGACACAGGGATCTCTGTCCAGGCAGGATTTAAGGCCCAGGCCTGGGTGGCCCTGTAATTAGAAAACAGGGTCGGAGTTCTGCCTGCATTAAACCACAGCTGCGTGTTGAGCCCTCGCAGAGGCAAAGAAAACTCGGACATATCTGTTTGGTGCGTAGCTGATGCCTGCCGACAGTCTGGATCCAGGGGTCCCATCCAGGGGTGTGACCTGGCCCAATCATCCGAACTCTGCCATCCCAGAGTGGGGCAGAGCTGTGGCGGGGGGCGGGGGGA